AAATTTGCTATTAGATCTAGCAGGGGATCTTCGTTTATATATGTGGTTCCACCACCTGTTTTGGCTATATTTATTCATAATTTCGCCTTATACACTTTACACTCTGACTTTAGTCTGTTCCACATTTTTTTAAGACTGCTGATTGACCTAAAATATTTTGAGAGATATGAATGAAAACTGTTTATATTATATAATGGCATATCCATTACCTCTTAATTGACCCGCTGCTTTTAAATTGTGCAATTAGGACCTCTCAAGCATAATCTTAGGCTTTATTTGTAACACCATCTGTTTTTTTGTTAAGCAGTACTGGATGCTTGTCAGCAGTACTAAGATCAAGACCAAAACCGCCTAATTTTAGCAAAATCAAGACCAAGACTGACCGTGCAAGATTTAAGCAAGAACAAGACTAAGCCTGCAAGACTCTTTCGTCTTGCAGTTAGGACTGAGTGTCGTTTCAGCTATGGTCTGTTTTTAAACCAGGAGGAGTAATTCAAATTTTCCGCGCCATAATGCTTGTTTGGAATTGGTCGAAGCGCAGGCAAGTTTACTCCACTAAATTATGACATATTGACACTAATGACATTTGTGAAATTTTAAAATTCAAAATTTATATCGACAATTTTTTGTATTTTCTGTGTTATTTCTTACATCTTTAGATTTTTCGTGTGCATTTATATAAAAAACAGTTCTTTTCAGAATTATTTAGCGACATATTAGTGTTATTAATATAACAATATGGATTCAATGTCAAGTACTAGTGGTAATTATTCTTCTCCACCTTAAAAACGCCGAGTAGATTTGGATCATTTATCATCAAATGAGAAATAATGTACTATAAACATGTAAAAACATAAAAATTGATAATTCTGGAATAAAAATAACAGCCACGGTAGTAAAAATAAAACAGGCAGCAGGTTAGTTTTACAGAATAGTTATTATTAAAATCAAAACTTACTAAAGTAATGTGCTAATTTTAGGTGTTGCGAATTCAACTATTTACAACAATATAATTTAGAACAATTAAAGAATATAAGCAGACTGAAGCAGTAAAACGTCCTAAAAATATTGAAGGGCGACCTTATATTCTTGCAACATAGGATGAAAGAGTTAAAACATCTATACGAAAGAAAGTACACAGCTTTTTTTTAAGAATGAAATGCTCACTTTATCCAACCCTCACTGGGCCTGTTTTCTAAGAAATTGTCGCTGCAATATAAACATGCGACGTTGACTTTTTCAGTTTTGGATTCACTACTGCTACTTTCCTTCTTCATACTTCCTTTTCCCTCTTGTAACTTTAATAATATCCAACTCCATTGACTTGTTTTTATTCTTAATATTTATTTCTGAAGACTGTTTATTTCGGTTACTGCTTTGAAGAGATTTAATTCCTTCTTGCTCTTTGAAAGACTTCTCTAATTCTTCTTTGTAAGGGGTACTTGTGAGAATAGCCGCTTTACCTTTCTTCACCTTCCTTGTTTTTTTGGAACTACCTTATCTTCCACCTTTGGGTAGGTGAGGAGAAATATAGTAGTGAATTTTGCTAGTGGATGGTCTAATATCGTCTTCAACTGGAAAAGCATTTTCTTCGAATTTAATTGAACCCAGTGACTGCCCGATTTGTTCCACTGGCGTAACTTTCCTAGGAATTTCATAAAATCTGTGCGTTCTGGGGCTCTTCCAATAATACTGTGCCATCGTCTCCATTAGGCTCAGTTAATGGTCTCTCTGCAGGCAGAGAAGCTGCAAACATGTCATCTGTGAAGACGGTACGGTCTACTGGATAAATTCCGGTCCTCTTAAAACCAATTATGGCGTTCAACGTTGTTGAAGCTTGTAGGTAAGCATGGCCAAATAATGAACCAATTTGAGGTAGAGTTACACACTTGCTTGAATTTTGCCTCATCCAAACTTCCACTTGTGCAGTATAAAAGGTACTTAGCGGTGCCATAAACGAAACATCGAGCGGCTGCATGCAGTGACTGCAGTGTGGAGAAAAACATAAAATTGTCACACCATTCTCCCTTGCTTTTTCTATAGCGCCAATATTTTGAGTGTGGGTTTTAATGCTTTAATGTTAACTTCCTGCTGCCAAGATTCTTTATGGTTATCCTTAAATATTCGTTCTAGTGTTGATTTGGGAACATTAAACGTTTTCGCAGCACTCAGAAAACCATGAGTACCATCTCGTACAGACTCCAGGCCTCTAGCCATTGACTCTTTCGACCACGAATTGCGGTTAGATTTCCTTTTATAATTGGAAGGCCTCTGGAAATTAATGAAATCATATATAAAAGAGATATGTAGGTAAAACGGGATATCATGTTTTACCTTTACATGGGCATCCCGTTTTACCTATACTCTACAGCCACACTTTTAAATTTAGCGCGTTAGGACTGTGTGACACTGGCAGCAAAAGTTCATACATGAAATCTAACTTAACCTTATCGAGTTTGCGTAAACACAGCCGCGACTGAATACCATGCGTTTTGCACATGCTAGGAACTCGTTAGGTTATCATAAATATCAGCTCGACCCTTTACATAAATCATAAAAAAAATACTTACGTTTTAGTTGCAAAATTGCACCGACGACAACACACATCAACAGTCTCCGGTGTGCGTCACACTTAGCCGTAGGCAAACTAAACTAGCGACATAGCCATGTTGTCCAAAATAGCATTTCCCGTTTTACCTATATATCCCGTCTTAGGCCCACCTCCCCTATGTTGTCTTTGTTTTACAACCACGAAATGCAAATATAAAAAAATTCATTAGAGCTATTCACAGACTATCTTCGAAATTGATTCATTTTAAAACAAATAATAAAAAAATATTTATCTGCTTAAGTAACAAGTCAATAGAATTGAAACTGACGCGCTTTCTGTATCTTTAATCTCTACTAAGCTTATTATCATGTGGCTAATACTTCTCGCCATAATTAGCAGGGTTGCCTCTTATCTGATTTTCTTTCTTTGCTCTACTTTTGGCTATTTTATACATTTTTGTTTCTCCTTCCAGAGTATCAAGTTTAATAAGCATATGATAATAAATACATAAAATTAAACTTTATTTTAATTAACATCATTAGACATAAGAATATTTCTATTTACAAGAAACCAACCTATTTTCATTTCGTTGTCTACCTTGAGCAGATTCTTTGAATTGCATTTTTGAAGAAAGAAGTAGGAAATTATACAACATAATTAGTTTAAATTGAAATTATAATTAGATAATGCTACTGCTGGAGTTAATCATAGTATTTATTTCTATAGAATATTAATAGGCTTTAACTTGAGTAGGTACAGATAAAACGCCAACTTAGAATGTCATAAAAGAATTGTTATGTACTGTTGGCAGTAATGAGAAAATTAATGGCAAACTACATAAGACCGGTAAACCTACTCTGAAGGACATGTCAATATTTTGTTTCATTTTTCATCCGTACCAGACTTTCTTTAAGTTACAGGTAAGATAAATTGTTTAGAAATATACCAGTCTAACTTGCGATTAAGAACGCTGAGACTGACAGGAACTTGTTTTTCAGAAAATGAATGTTGTTCAACACATTCTTTATTCTGAATCTAATACCTGTTATATAGGACAGACCGGACGTTCACTTAAGGGTAGATTAACTGCACACCGCAGTGATATTAACTTGTACAAACACTCTTGCGCCTTGGCGTAACATATTATTTTATCTAAACACAAGGTCAACTTACACAAGGTTAAAATTCTTTGTAAAGATAAAAAAAACACTAAAAGACAGTTTTAAAACTTGTGTTATACACCTAGCCATCCAACTGCACTAAAAAGAATGCTGAAATTAGTAACTTGACTCAAATTTATCACTTCTTAATTTTACATAATTGCTTTTGATATGCATAATTGCAGTTGCTAACTGAGCTTTTGATTTAACTTATAGATTCTTACTAATTTATCTACCTCTATCTAGAGATAGATATATCTACTTACTAATTTTAACATACTACTTTGATTCTTTAAAATAAACTGGTAAATGTTAAATTAACTGTATTCTGAGTATGCTTAACGGATTTGACTTCAGTTGGTTCTGTTCATAGTAACTTTCAGCTTATCTATTGATCTTAAAAATGTGCCTTCCTCCCCAGCAAATGATTAAGTAATCAAATGATTAGCTATGGCCATATCATTCGCATATATAAATTGTTTTGTTTTTTAATGTATTGACTAATCCTTTTTCTAGATGTTAAAAGCAGGGGAGTCAGCACAAACTACTGTGAGCCAACCCATTCTTTGACGTCGTATAAAGTTGGTAAACTTACTGTGTTTTGATGTGGTTTTGGTGTACGATGTCATATGCTACGAAAAAGTCCACGAACGTCAAGTCCAATAACTGCTTTCTTTCAAATGCATCTTTACTATGTTGGGTCAGGTTGAGGATATGGCCACGGCAGTATTGATCAGGATCAAATGGATGCCTGGAAGGAAGTCTGGGGAATACGATTGAAAAATACCTATGAGGATAAATAACAACAATCAAAGTAAAGATACAAGAAAAAAAGAACTAATCCACCTTGTTAACCTAGACAATACGATTTTTACCTTATTAGAAGAGCTTTAATTTGTAATAATATTATAGTGGCTTCTATATAAAAAAAAATTTTTTTTTTAATGATGATTTATTTATTTGTTCTTTTTTATAAAAGGAACTATATCTTTTTCTTTCTATCCTCATACAAATTTTCTATTTTTTTTTTTTCGGTCCGGCACAATACAAAATGTGCATGTGATTTTTTAATTACAAAAATCATTGTAGGTACATGTTTAATTTCTTAATCTTTCTTGGTCTTGAAAAATTAATCGACAAATTCTAATGCAACAATAAGTGACTGTGACCTTAAAATCCTCTCGCAGCGCATTAGGGTACTGAAAGGAGGGGCAACCGATCTAGGGGAAATTGTGAGGACAATAACATTATTTTAACAACCCCCACCTGCCACTAAAATAATACCATCCATCTCTTAGCTGCAACAATTCGCTGTCTCTGTTCTTCGGTTGGTGCTTTTAATTTGATTATATATTTCTTGCAGTTTTGTTTTGTTGTTAATTAGCGAACTGCAAGGAGAGGAGTGCTTGGTGTGTTAGTGAGATACATTGGATACCGTTGGGAGATTCTGAAGAAGAATACTCAGTAAGTTTTTTTAACATTTCTTTTATCGATTGCGTTATGAAATAAAATACAAGGTATATTTGTGAAAATATTTGTTCTTTTAAATCAAGATTTTTATTTTTTTTTTTTTTTAGTAATTTCTAATGTCTTTTTTATTTGACACTCTAACTTCCCAATTTAAGCTGTCCTTTTTTTAATTAAAATTAAGCAACTTCAAATTCATTTATTAAAAGGCAATTGCATGAATAACAAACACTTTTTGCGTGTGTTGCATACAATAGTTTTTCTATAGCTCAATTAAACTAATAAAATCAAAATCGATAGTTGGATCATTTTAATTAAACATCTTTAATAAATTACACCTAGTGACAAGTACATAAAGATGAAATTGTAAACTATATTCAATTATATAATACAATAAAAAAATTAACAGCTATATTATGAATATTTGTTTAATTTATCAATGTGAATTGTTTTGTTGACTAAGGTTAGTTTTTGATTCAGTCACATTTTCTGTTTGATTCGCGGATAAAGCTTTGTTTAAATTTTGAATATTTGTAAGAGATAAATTCGTCATAGTCATATTCTTATAATGTGATGTTAAAGGTTGGCTAAATGACGTTGAAAGTTGACTAAAATTATTGCTGATATTAGGTCCTTGTAAAATTAATAAAGCACGGTTCATTTTTATATTGAGTGAATTATTCACATATATTAAATCCTAAATGTTGTTTCAGGAGGACTTAGCTTGTTTATTTTAGAGGTTTGTTTTAACCAGAATTAATGATAGCGATGTCGAAATACGTCGAAATGCGTGACCTGTATAACTCCTTTTGCTGCAGTAAATTGAAAAATTTAAATAGTGCACAATTAGCGATGGAATTTTCTAAAATGTACAAACTACCTGTTTGTACATTTAAACTATTTATATATATATATATATATATATACATATAATATATATTATATATATACATATAATATATATTATATATATATACATATAATATATAGTAGGCCCTTGGTTTGGTTTACTTTTCCATTCTTTTCTGTCTTCTGCTCTCTCCTTTCAATTTGGGATTTTAAGTATGTCTCTTTTAACTTCCTTGTTCTTTCTGGTTGTCTCTCAACTTTTCCTCTTCATTTCTCCTACTTGTCCAGTTAATATTCCTTTGGGTAGTCTAGTGTTTGGCATCCTTAGTGGTAGTTTAACAGTGGCCCACAAAGGCAACAACCTCTTAAATAAATACTTCACAAAACTAAAAACACAAACTCCAAAACTTAAAAAATCACATGTTGTTTACGAGATACCATGTACAAACTGTGAAGGTGTCTATATCGGTCAAACCAGTCAACTGCTTCAATCCAGAATTCGTTCTCACAAATACGACAAGAACAACGTCACTGCGCTCACAAAACATGAAAGCGGGAAGAAGCATAAATTTGACTTTGAAAACATCAAAATTCTAAAAACAAAAAAAACAAAAAGAAGAGGGAGATATACGAATCAATAGAAATAAAAAGAAACACCAACGCAATAAATGACAAAAAAGATACACAAAACCTAAATAAAATATATTTTAATCTGATTTAAACAATAATAATATAACATCATAAAAAGCTCTTAAAGTCATAACATATCTCCACCTTACCTTTTTCAAAAACATCAACGATACGCCCATATAAAAATAATTATATACTAATGACAGTAAACAATGAGATATCAGATATCAACTTTTATATGTCAGTTCGTTAATGTCTGTGTCACGTTTTACGTTTTGGTAAGTCATATATATATATATATATATATATATATATATATATATATATATATATATATATATTTATATATTTATATATTTATATATATATATATATATATATATATATATATATATATATACATATTTTACAATATCTGTTTGTCCTTATATATATACACATTTTAGAATCTTGACAAAGGCAAGGGTTTCCTGCCGAAACGTTGATTAATTGCAATGGAAAATAAAATCTAGTTCCACATGTAACATATCTTATTGAACCTAAACCCAAGAAACATTAATAATTATATATATATATATATATATATATATATATATATATATATATATATATATATGTACATATATATATATATATATATCGCTACTTCAATACAAAAGAGCCACAAACCAAAATTACAGTTTTTATAGGAGAGCTATGCAAAGTTTTGGCCTTTATTTTTTGTTAATTTCTCTTTTATTTTATATCATTTATATGCATGTTAAGTATTGTTAGAAAGGTAAATTTAAATTGTATTTGATATTGTATTCAGATACAACGTAAATATTTTCCTGAAAGAGATATTAGCAGATGTGTCTCTTTTGTATAAAAAATATTTGTGATATCATTATAAGTATTGAAAATAAAAGGACACATACCAAAGAAATAAAGATTTTAATCAATGTTTTTGTCATTACTTTATGTAGATTTAGTACAATTATTACAAAAAAAAAAGATGACAATGTCAGGCTATCAAAAAAAAAGCAAAAGTTAGTTATAAAGCTAAATAAGTATCAGAAGGAGATATTAAAGTCTGTCATAAAAATATAATAATACATTTGATATGGAACATATTGTTTATCCTCAGAAACACAATTTTCAACATAATTTCGGTGTAAAGCAGCAATGGTAAGACTGCCTTCTATATATTCACGTTTAGAACGACATCTACAGTAATGGCTCTCGATTCTCGGAATGGAGTTAATATGATTCCTGACGTCGTCCTTTAGAGATGGATTAATCTGGTGATGATTATTGTGTCTTCCTCTAAGGTCTTCATCCTGAACACCTTTGACAGTACAGTTGTTCTTTCTCACAACAGTTCTGATGGTTTTCTCGGAAATAGCTAGGGTATGCATAAAGAATATTTTGCATAATCTCTTACGTTCAGTACCTAAAGGCAAATAGTATGCATTGTTAAAATTTTTGCAAGTACTGTCAACGCGTATATAACGATACTTTGGTACAATTTCAGCCATATTGGAGTAAATAAATTGTCTTTGTACTTTTAAATCGGCAGTTTTCCAAAACTCATTAAAAATTGTTAGTCTTTCTTGGGCTGTAAATTTTGTAAAACATTGGAACTTACACTTATCAGCACAAACCGTTCCCATTTTTTTCTTCAATCTTTTTCTTAGATTTTGACAAGGATGTATATGCCTTACCACTATTTCTTAATAACTTGGTAACGTTTCTTTTCCATAGATTTCGATTTGCCTTCCTTTTGCGACCTTTTTTTTTCATTGTTTTTATTTTCAGATGTATCGACACTACTTGATCGTTAAAGACCTCAGTATTGGTAGGCAGTATATCAACATTGGGTGGTTGAACATCTAATGATATAGACTGGATGTTGACAGGGGAACATTCTACAGTCAATTTATTAGTATGTACAATTTTTTTGATTTTGCTATTAAAACCAGAAGATCCAGGTTGTGAAAATAATTGTTGCTCTTCAGTCAAATGCCTTAAATAAACATTATTTTCATCCGAATAAGTGTCACTCTTTAGTGAATCGTCCTTGCTTGGAAAGTCGGGATCCTCAACACTGTCGTCTGAAGAGAAATCAGCCCTGGAGCTGCTTGAAAACGAAGACGAACTACTTGAAGACGAAGACGAGCTGCTTGAAGATGAAGACGTAGAGTCGCTGTCATATTCAGTTCCCTGAACTATTACCTTTGACCTGATGTCTAGGGTATTAGCTTGGTAGTTTGTACCATCGTCACTAAAAAGATTTAAATTGTGTTGGCTACCAGGTATGGCATTAATGTATGGTTTTGTTGAATCGTAAAGTAGTAGATCAACATTTTGTGGTTGGGTTTCCAAGTTTACTAACATAGGCAGAGTGTCATAAGTGTTGGCTTGCTCCTTGAATCCGATTTCTTGAATTTTCTCAGGTTTATTAGTACTGGTTTTACACCCAACCATGTCGAGGATTCTATGCACTCTTCTACTCATTCTGCAACAAATAAATTGTTGATGTACAATTAACAATATCAGATTTCTCGTTTTATTAGAATTGCACAAGTAAAATATTTTGGTTTTATATAAATATATAAATATAGACTTCAGATATCAGAGCTGGGAACAAATTAATTACAATTAAAAATTATCTACTTTTTAAAAGTAAAAGTAATTTATTTCCCTATACAGCTGTGATGTGATCGTTAGACATATTTTCTTTTTCGAGATAAGAATGTGATTACTTTTCACTATGGTATTACGAAGCCTAAACAAAATTAAAATAAAAGACAATCAGTCCCATTAATAATAACTTGATATCCACGGGAAGCGACTCAAAAAGGATATTTTGTTTACGTACAATAAATTCAAGTACCTAAATGATTGCTTGTTACTTACATTATGAATTAATTTGCGGAGTAGCAAAATACATATTCATATCATACAATGTCCAAAACAAAATACGATACACGGTATTTTTTACGCTCTCAATTAATATTGGAAATAAACACGTTGTGTAATTCACACCGTGTTTATTTCACTTATAACACTTCTGAATTATATTAAAATAAGATGTTAGACTATCACAATGAATACAATATACAAGTAAATGAAAAAAACTACATTTTACATTATAATAACATTTTACTGTCATAAAAAATGCAAAGGAGTCGTACCTATCACAGTATATGGCCCTTTTTTAATTTAAATGATATAACAGCTCCGAGAATATCATAAGCAAAATGAACATATTCCCTAATACATCCTTTTTGATTAAGAAATAATAATATACTTACGTGAATCTTCTGTGCAAAATGGACGTACTGCGGAATGTGGCACTTTTGTTTATAAAAACGATAACAACGACTAGGGTTTTTTGAAATGTGGCTGTTTAACACAAAAAAAACGTGCGATCACTTCGACTGTCAGGACGCAACTAACAAACTGGCGGTTTTGTCCATATTTGTTCTCTCAAATATAAAAATGCAAAAAGGGCGCTAGTGTCATTTCGATATTAA